AGAGAGAGAGAGAGAGAGAGAGAGAGAGAGAGAGAGAGAGAGAGAGAGAGAGAGATATTAATAAAAATGTATCAATGACTGTGAGTTTTGCAAAATTTGTAGTGTTAATGTTAACCCCACCAAGAATATTTAAATACACTGAACCATGTGTTCACCTTTAATGGCTGTACGTCTAAGATTTACAGAGGAAAAAATTGTGAGAATGAGTTTAGTATTCAGCTATTACTGATTAAACGCGCAGATACTTCATTGCTTCTGACAAACCGGTTACACTGAGTGGAGCGGTTGACTGTTCCAAGATGGCGGCCCTACAGCTCGTCAGCGCTAATAGGCGGTCAATGCTGTATCTAGTGTTTATATCTATGTATGCTACACTACTTATCAACTCCTGACAAGGTTGGGAGACACAAATCTCTTAAAAGGGCATAATAACATTTATTTATTTATTTGTCTAAATATGCTTTAAACTGGTAATGCTTAAAAAGTCCGATTTAAACATTTCTTTAGGAATCACTTCTTTATTGCACATCAAACATAAAACCTTGTCTCTCATCAAAAGCTAAACGATTGAATTCTGTGAAATTTGTCATCTAATGACAGAATAAAAGCAGAAAAATATAAACTTACATAACCTCAGTAAATATATTGCCTCTTTGAGTATAAAGTTCTGATTGTTTTACCGTAGACTTGGACAATCTTTGAGTCCTGAACCATCGATCGACCGTTGGAAACCTGGATGGTGACCAAGATTTCTCCAGTCTGGGAGAAACGAGTCAAAATGCTATTCTGCAGGGTCAGCATGGGCTGGAAGAGAAAATATTAAATATCAAAATCATAACACACACAGACACACAACAGCATTGTAAAGTAGTCCCTCGCTATTTTGTGGTTTGTTTTTTGCGGACTTGCTCTGTTGCAGTTTTTCAAAATAAGATTGGACATGACACACAGTTTGGCTGATTGATGGATGAGCACGATCGGCATGGATTTATTAATTTTTTTAATAAATTATTCTAAATTATTCAGCATCTGCTGCACCTGTGTGCAGCCCACACTGCAGGAGAAGCTTCCTGCTGCAGAGTGTCATATCTCTGCTCTGCAGCAGAGAAGTGGGCATGGCGAAGAGCACTGGCAGGTGGAAAAGAGCAGAGGAGGCAGGGAGCAGAAATCATGACATTCTGTGCTCTTTTAGGGGTGGGGGGTGGAGAGCACACTGGTGGGTGGAGGTGGGGTGGGGGGGTTCTGGTGGTCCTCCTCCAGAAATTTTTGAATAAAGTAGATGCCATTTCCTGCATTCTGGTGTATTTTAATGGGCTGTTTAACATTTAGTTTTGCCTACATAAGTAACACTTGATTCAATAACAATTTTAGAGTTAATGGTACCACAAGAAGTAACCTGGCCAACAGCTCTCCTTGAGTGAGTAGAGTATGCTCCGCTTCTGTCATGCACCCCTCCGGGAGAGCTTTAACCACATCCCAGCAGAGGCGGGAGACATTGAGTCCGAGTGGGCCATGTTCCGTACCTCGCTTGTTGAGGTAGTTGCCTTGGGGAGTGGTGGCACAGAGGTTAGAAGATGGGCCTGTGATCAGAAAGTCGCAGGTTCAACTCCCGGTACCGACAACATCAAAATGTGGGTGGAAAAGGTGAAACACCCACACCTGCCTCCACCCTTATTCGCCCCACTCTGGGCCCCTGAGCAAGGCCCTTAACCCCCACCATGTGCTTCCTAAACAGGTCTCTCTTGAAAATGAGTTCTCGTGACTCAATGAGACTACCTGTTATAAAGGGTAAATGAGAAAAAAAAAAAAAAGGGGTGTCCACCACCGAGTTCGTGGATGGCCACCACAAGAAGCACCGACAACCTCACGACCACAGTTCAAGTTAGGTGTTAGGGAGGCTGTCAAGCTGAAGAAGGAGTCCTATCGGGCCTTGTTGGCCAGTGGGACTCTGGAGGTAGCTGAGGAGTACCGGAGAGCCAAGCGATCTGCAGCCTTGGCTGTTGCGGAGGCAAAAGCTTGGATGTGGGAGGAGTTCGGTGAGACCTTGGATAGAGACTCTCAGTCGGCTCTGAGGAGATTCTGGCAAACCATCAGGCGGCTGAGGAGAGGAAAGCAGCACTTTACTAACACTGTGTTCAGTGAATGTGGGGTGCTGTTGACCTCGACCAGTGATGTCGTCGGGAGGTGGAAGGAATACTTCTCGATCCCACCAGCACGTCTTCCATGGAGGAAGCTGAGTCAGGGGACTTTGGGGTTGATCCGTCCAAAACCATGGCTGAGGTCACCGAGGTAGTTAAAAAACTCAGAGGCGGCAGGGCTCTGGGAGTGGATGAGATTCACCCTGATTTCCTTAAGGCTCTGGATGTTGTGGGGATGTCTTGGCTGACATGCCTGGATTGGAAGACTGGGGTGGTGGTTCCCCTCTTCAAAAAGGGGGACCGGAGGGTGTGCTCCAATTATAGGGGTATCACTCTCATTAGCCTCCCTGGTAAGGTCTATTCAGGGGTACTGGAGAAGCGAGTCCGATCGTTGATCGAACCTCAGATCCGAGAGGAACAATAGGGGTTCCGTCGTGGCTATGGAACACTGGATCAGCGCTTTACCCTCACTAGGGTCCTTGAGGGGTCATGGGAGTTTGCCCATCCAGTCTACATGTGTTTTGTGGACTTAGAGAAGGCATTCGACCGTGTTCCTCGACGTACACTGTGGGGGGTGTTCCGTGAGTATGGGATTGGTGGTCCGTTGTTATGGGCTGTTCAGTCCCTATACAAGCTGTGCGAGAGTTTGGTTTGCATTGCTGGTAGTAAGTCGGACCCCTTCAGGGTGGGAGTTGGACTCTGCCAGGGCTGCCCGTTGTCACCGAGTCTGTTAATAACTTTTATGGACAGAATTTCTCGGTGCAGCCAGCTGGCAGAGGGTTTCCGGTTCAGTGGCCTCAGGATTCCATCTCTGCTCTTTGCAGGTGATGTGGTCCTGTTGGCATCATCGTGCTGTGATCTTCAGCTCTCACTGGAGCGGTTTGCAGCCGAGTGTGAAGAGGCTGGGATGAGAATCAGCACCTCCAAATCTGAGGCCATGATCCTCAACCAGAAAAGGGTGGATTGCTCCCTTCAGGTCGAGGGTGAGGTTCTGCCTCAAGTGGAGGAGTTCAAGTATCTCGGGGTTTTGTTCACGAGTGAGGGAAGAATGGAGCGTGAGATTGACAGGCGGATTGGTGCAGCGTCTGCAGTATTGCGGACTTTGTACCAGTCTGTTGTGGTGAAGAGAGAGCTGAGCTGTAAGGAAAAGCTCTCTGTTTACCGGTTGGTCTACATTCCTACCCTCACCTATGGTCATGAGCTCTGGGTAATGACTGAAAGAATGAGATTGTGGATACAGGCGGTTGAAATGAGTTTTCTCCGCAGGGTAGCTGGACTCTCCCTTAGAGATAGGGTGAGAAGTTCTGTGTTCCGGAAGAGACTTGGAGTAGAACTGCTACTCCTCCATGTTGAGAGGAGCCAGTTGAGGTGGTTCAGGCATCTGGTAAGGATGCCCCCCTGAGCGCCTCCCTAGGGGGGTGCTTCAGGCATGTCCAACTGGGAGGAGACCCCAGGGAAGACCCAGGACACACTGGGGAGACTATGTCTCTTGGTTGGCCTGGGAACGCCTTGGTATCCTCCCCGAAGAGCTGGAAGAGGTGCTGTGGAAAGAGATGTCTGGGCCTCCCTGCTCAAGCTGCTGTCTCCGCGACCCAACTTCAGAATAAGCGGAAGATAATGGATGGATGGATATATATGTTTTGTTTTGAGATGAAACTTTTACATTTTTTTTACCTGAAGATTTCCTCCTATCCACCAATAAAAGACGGTCAGGTTGGCCTCAGCGGGGAGAACTACAGCCGTCAAATTGACTTCATCATTTTTCTTTGCGATGGGAACTGCTTCCAGGTACACGGCCTGTAAAGGGGCTGAACAGGAAGTAGAGTTTTGATTGTTTATCACCATCTGCAATACAGCCTAAGACAATTGTGCAGCAAATTCTGCAAACTTCTTCATATAACAATGATGTTGTATCTCCAACACCTTATAGTCATAAAAATAGAGGCTAATATAACTTTTGTCTTGTCTTTTTGACCACTCGGTGTGCTTAAGTCATTTGTAGCCAACATGCTGAATGCTTACTTCGTAGTTTTTATTAATATTATTATTATTAGTTTATTTGACAGGAACAATGCACACAAACATAGAACAGAACAAGTGTGTGACTGATGCGTTGCACAAAGAACTATAGCTAATTCACAACTACCTGTACAGTCCTTGGTTGGGCATTATATGCTGTTTAATTATTACACCCCAGAAAAAGAAATGAAATTAATCAATAAGACATTCATATATGGTCAGTATCTACTCTACGTCTAAAGTCAACATCACATTTTCTGTAAAAATACACAACAAACATCTGGTTGTGTTGCAAAAATAAACTGCAAACACAGACATGGACCACATACTGCACAAAACAAAATAATGTTTCTCAATTAAAAAAGGACCAGACTGAAACTTTAGGTTCTATAAAGAAAACAACAACAAGACTTCCTTAACTTGTTGCTTAACACTTTTCCTTGAATTTTAAAGAAAACATTACAAACTCAAAATACTTTAATATTTTATGCAGACTTTGGAAACTATGATTTCTCTGGCAAATAAACAAGGATAACTTTTCTTGAAAATGAGACATAGTAAGTACAGGAATATTTATAAATAGTATTCTTTACATATTTAAATGGACAAACCTGATTAGATTAAGACATTCATATTGGCAGAGTCTGATGCTGAAACGGTCTCCGTAATAATAATAATAATAATAATAATAATAATAATAATAATAATAATAATAATATCACTTTTGGTATAAAATAAAACAAATATGGATGTGCTAAAGCCACTAGTGAATGTCAGAGGACAAGTGTGAGGCAGTAAGTTGCACTGGTCAGAGAACAGTTCATAATCAAATATTCCAAAACAATAACCAAAGATAGTCATTTAAAAGACAAAAGCAAAGTGATACGTAAGCTGATTTAAATAGTTTAAAGTGTTACATGAATCCTGATTACTACCCAAGTATGTTTTATACCCAGGATACACTTCAATTTTTTTCTTTATTAGATTATATTCCATTTGCTGAAGGCAGAATTGATGTTTTCTTTTCTTTTTACTTTTTTAAATTTTATTTTAGCACTTTGAGCATTTGACCAGTCTCATAATGGCTGTTGCTCATCCAATTCCTGGTAATTTTATTCGGTTTGGGGATACTCTTCTATTAAAAAAAATGCACGTTCTTGTTTTCCAATGTGGTGTTTCTTTGCAGAAGTGCTGCCAGTTTGGCAAAGATATGTTCCTAATTGGGTGCACAGTCTTCAACTGGCGTTTCATCAGCTGCAACATGTCGAGCGCTCCCGGGTGGCAGATTAAACAAATTTGAAATAAGCACTTCAGTTTACTGCCTCTGCAAAAATAGAGCTGTCAGCGTACATAAAAAACACAACTAAGTAAAACAACAATTGTCCTCCGGTCCTTATTTGGACACCATAACATTTACCTACTTATAATAGTGACAGACATGATGTTATGAAGCCAAACATTAAAGTCAAAGTGTTGTTTTAGGCTGCAGAGAGAATGTTACAAAAGTAAAACAGATTGTGGTCGACCAAGAAGCAGACCTGTGACTTGGATGTACATGGTGGTCTCATCGTGGCCTGCTACGTTTTCAGCCTTCACTGTAACCTTGTAAACGCCCGTGTGTTCATAGCGGTGCTGAATGGGCTCATCCGTCACCGTCAAGTTCTGATAAATGGCTCGGACGCCATCACCCAGGTCCACCTGGTACTTTGTGCTGCTTGTGTCTCCCTGTTAGGAAGAAACCGAAAACTAATTGAAAAGGAACAAAGGAGGAAGGACCAAGCTAAAGAACTGCTCCTCTCTACCTGCTCCTGATGAACAATGAATGTGATGTCATCACCAGGAGCCACAGCCAGCATCTGTCCTTTGATGCCAACTTGTAGACCTTTAGGAGCCAACAGGGGGCAGCTGTGCTGTTTGGCACTTTGCTGCTTGTTAACTCCTCCTTCACATATATCAGAAATCACCTTCCTATAGCTGAAAAGGAGCAGAGGACAGTGCATGTGTGAGCATGAAGATCCTGTTCAACACCAATGAGAATAGAGTAAGCTCAATTACATCATTTCTGTTAGGTCAAGGTTCAAGGAGACTTTATGCTATTCACATCACATGTGGTACATAAGGTGGAACAAAATTGTGTACACAAGGTCCCAGTTACACCCAAAAATAGCAAAAATATAAAGTATAAAACGAAACAGTATACAAGAATCTAAGATATAAACTAATATTAATAATATAAATAAGGTGCATTAAGCAGCAACCTGAACATGAGTCTGTTGTGAGCAGATGGGTATGAATACAGCAGCATATAGGTCAAGGGTTAGGTAAAAATTAGCAAAAAATAATCAACAAAACTTGCTGTGGCCAAATATAAAAAAATAAAAGCCCTTTCAAAAAAATACTCATGTCCCACGACTTTGAGCGATGCTGGTCCCTCCTGCTTTTAATCTTGATGCTAAGCTAGGCTAACTATGTATTACTTATTTTAACTTAAGGTCATAAAATTAGTTTAGGAGAGGATATACAAACACAGAAACACAATTGTTACACATTTTGTTAATCTTGTGTTGCTGTCATGTTTTCTGCCTCTGATCCCAAGCCTTGCTCTCCACCACACCTCTCTGCACCTCTGCATAACCAAGCTCATTCCATTCACTTGTTTCAAGCCCTACTTAAACCTCATGCTCACAGCCACACTCTGCCAGATTATCAAACCCTTTGAGGAAGTAGATGTCCAGCGTTCATGTCAAAGCTCTCTTGGATTACCTTGTCTTGACCCGACGTCTGTCTCTTGGACATCTGCCTGCTCCTTGCCTGTTACCTTATTCTGATCACGGTATCTAGCTGCTCTTCTAGGTTAATTACTACACCTCACAGATTCTCCTCTTGGATTTATTGGACCTCTGACCCTCTGGTAACAACCCTCTGCTCTCCACCTGACTCTCGCCTCTGGATATTAGTCTGGACTACGACCCACTCCAACCAGCCTCTCTGCTGCAAACCTGTCTGCTCCTGTGACGTCATCTTGCCCGACTCCTTCAGGAAGCGCCCACCATTCCTGCATAAGTCATTCTGTTTACCTGCCTGCTCACTGAAACTGCCAGTCCACTAACCTTATGTATCTCTGTAGATTGGGCTTGTCCAGGACTTTGACCACCACCAGTAGCTTTTTATAAACAAAACTTTTAAACCATTCCTGTTGTCTGACGTCTTGTTCGAATCGTTAAACCGAAACCATATCAGTTACATCATGTTTTGATCTGCTACTTTTCTTGTGGCTTTGAAAAGACATGACAAAAAAAATGTATGCCACATTGAAATAGTGTTTTAATTGCATACAGAAGTGTGTGTGCGCAACATATAACCCTCGTGAGTGTGAGTCATTATAATTTAGACAAAGTAACTATTTCTGCTTGGGTGAAAAAAAATAAAAGGTTTGTGAAGTTTGCGAGTGAAGATGGAGTTGTTGTTATGCACATACCCAGTGCTGGACTTATAGTTTTGTCCAAGATGGCAGTCGTCTGGTGGTGAATCTGGATCAAACCAAAAGTCAGGGAAACAGCGATCGCCTACTGTGTAAGACCGTTCAAAGCCATAGTCACTGCAGACACATAAGTCAGACTTAGTTCTGAGAACAGCTGAGTCATGCATGAGTAATAAATGATGATAAAGTAATGGGCAAAGAGAAAGCTCTTAAAAAAACATTGCATGTAAAAGAAAAACCTACTAATTTGCTCTAACAGTCTAATGTATGACAGCTATTGATAGTTGGAACTTTACTGAACACTTCATCAGATTATTAAGTTTTCTGAACATTAAAATTCTGTGAATTAGAGATTAGAGTATTAATATTTTTAACATTCTGGAGTATAAGCTACACTAAAACGGCGTCAGTGTTTTGAGTAGTCTGTGACTCACCAGTTAAAGTCTCTTTCTGAGCACTGGCAGGGCTTGCTGGTGAGAGCTGACGTGTAGCTTTTCCCTTTAATGCAAAACGAAGTCTCCTTTCTCTTCCTGAAAGTGCGCTCCTGGCCCATAATGCACTTTTCTCCCTGAGGGTGCAGAAGTCCACAAGAACACAGAAAAACGACTTAAAATGTTACCAAGCGATTCAGCAATTCTGGGATAAATCGGTCTGTAATGATGACCTTAGAAACATGACAAAGATGGACTTTACATAATTTATACTAAGTGCTACAAGCAACACTACTTTAAAATGTTCTGAGCACAGAGTTTGAATCTGCACATGTGCATTACCTTCAGATCTACAAGCTGCCATGACTCGTAATCAGACTCCGTGCACTGACGAGGGAAAGACTGCCTGAAGTCCACCTTGACCAGCTCCCAGTCTGATCTGTAGCTGATGTGGCCAAATACTCTGCAAGCATAAACACACGAGAGACTATTGTTTTCACAACCTACTGACAAAGAAGGAGAGAGGTGGCGCAGAGGTTAGAGAAGGCGAGCCTGTGATAGTCAGGTTGCTGGTTTGAATCCTTTGACCATCCAACATACATTGTACATCACAATCTGGAGGGGAAAGGTCAAAAGTACTATGTGTTGTCATCATTGTGTGGGAAACATACAATGTCGAAATTAGTTCTCTGCATTTAACCCATCACACCTGAGAAACATCCAGGTGGAGCAGTGGGTGGTTATAAGCGCCCAGGGAGCAGTTAGGGATTAGGTGTCTTGCTCAAGGACACCACGACATGTGCGCATGGCAGAGAGTCGAGCCTGCAGCTTCCTGGTCCCAAGTCAGCTGCCCTAACTCTACACCATCTCGGCCCTTGGCCACCATCTCATAAAGCACCCACATCTGCCTCCACCCATATTTGCACCACTCTATGTCCTTTAGCAAGGCCTCTAACTCCCAGCTGTTCCCCGAGCAGCTTTGATAGCTGCCCTCTGCTCCACACAGAGGGCTGTGGTAGCTCAGTCATCAGTGGTCGCTTCAAGACGGGTATCAGGCGTAAAAACAATTCCCAAGTCTTTGTACGAGTTTGCGTCCTGTGACGACCCCTGAAGAAGGGCGTAGCCAAAAGCAACTAGAACCACAACAAAACAGAAATTCATAACGTACAAACAGATCGTCTTTATAGATTAAAAGTGGATTTTTCCACTGCGCAAGGAGACGTCTGAACAATGTCTTTTTTAAGTCGTTTTTGACCGTCTAATTTTGGTCCCTTGCAGGTGCAGACTGTGACTCCAGACGACGTCTTTTTCTGAAGTCCAATGGACGGTCAATATAGACGTATTTTCTACATCAAAATTTAACTTATTAAATTCACTTCAGATAATAATATAATTAGTAAGTGCTTCGTGTTGTCTTCATTGTATGTTCCTATGCAGTGTTTAACACATTCATCCTCGGATGGATGTTGGAATGACTAGGGTTTGATCCCAGGACCTTCGGGTTTACAGTCAGCTGCTCTACCGCTGCGCCATCTCTGTGTGGCAAACAAAACTAAAAAAACAGTCTTTGGCCCATCTATTGTGCAACAGGAAACCACACACTTTAGATACTAGGTTTACAATTATAAATCATCACTCCTTAAATTTCACTAGAAACGGATGGACTAAGTTTTACAAATAAATCACTCCTTCCTTTATCCTCTTTTTTGGATTAACAGAACGAGTAACTCAGAAAGGAACACTGAAAATAGCAACAGTTGGTTTATGAACAAAGCCGTGCAAATTTACAATCATAAAAGAGTAACTGTACACAGTTACTCTTTTATGATTATAAATTATGATTGTAAATTTTATGATTATAAATTATGATTGTATTCACTTAAGGCACACCTGCACCTGTCTTGGATGTCTATATGACCTCCAAGTCTGACGTTCAAACATTGCACTCTATATTGACGGACAAGTGATGTCATGGTTAGACGTCCATACTGGACCTTGTTTGCACATCGTGGAGACATCTCAGAGACGACGGACTCAATACAGACAAGAACTGCACGTCCATACGACGTCTAATGTTTAGTGGGTTATGTTGTCAGCTGGAATGTAGCTTAGCTTCTTTGAGGTTGTTAACCCGTTTATTGTCCTTAAACTTAATGACCATTCCTTTTTTTTTTTGGGGGGGGGGGTCGTGAGGTGAGGTGGATCGACCACCTTCTTTAAATGCCTAAAAATGTTTTTTTTTTTTTTTTAATCCATAAAAAAACTATGGTTGTCAATCTTTTAGAGCAATCACAAGCAGAAAATGAAAAATACATTTTAAATGACTAACTTAACTTTATCTTAACTCTTTAAGGGTCTTTTGTTAAATAAAAAAACATTTGCATTTACATTTACTTTTTAATTGAGAAAATAAAATACAAATAAATATAAAAACACACAAAAAAAGGCATTTCCAAACATTAGTATGCCCAAAATTATTTTTTGGAGAATTAAAAAAAAGGGATTAAAATATGTTTTTACAGTGTATTCTAACATGGCAGGTTTTTTACATGAGCGTGTAGTAAATTGTGAGTTTATGAATGAAAATATTCTGACAACATAAAAAAAAGTTGAAGGATTTTAAGGTTTTGTCAGGGAAAAAAAAAAAAAAAAACATGTTTTGATTGCACCTAAATGAATTAAATAAAAATAGGGACAAAAATATATCTGTGCCTGATTTTCCCCAAAACGGGGTTTAGATTTCATGGAGTTGTAGTTCACAAGTTGTTCCAATAGATGGAAGTGTTATACAGTGCAACATGGGGGTGGACATCATCCTAAACCCTGAAATAAGCCTGTTTTTAGGGCGTCAGAATACTTGTTTGTAAAGCAGACTAATGCGACTCAAGTCAGTGACTCCAACATTATGTTACTTTGACAGTGGTGGCCCCCAATCACATTGATGAAGCACAAGCATGGCTAACACTGTCTTCCATGGTACAGTTATAGGAAGTGATCAATGTCTTTACTACAAACTCATATGCTGCTGGTTCCCCATTTATCTTACTGGTGCTCTGGAATCAGTGTGGCATCATTAAACTCCTCCACGTTCAAGTCTAATTCATGACTTCTTCCAGGTCTGTTCACGGGTGAGTTCATTCAAAATATCTTGAATGTTACTGAGCGCAATCAATCAATTTAAGGTCACTCTTAATTAGAAAAAGTGTTCGTAATGATGCCTTCATTCTGGAAGATGACCCCACTATGATCCTGATGAAAATAAATAAATGATCCTGATGTGCTCTACCGCACCCTTCCCATGCTCTTCATCAGGATACAGCTGCAGGTATCAAGTTTGTGCTAGGTTGTTCCCATGACCTTGTAATCATCACATTTGTAAACTAAGCATGGGGTCAGCTTAGTCAGTTCATAATGAATCTTTTAGCACCTAAGTCAAGCCGGTGTTCTAATATGCTGCCACCATGATGGTAAACCATCACAATCTTAAAAGTTTGGTGCATGCTCAAGTCTCTACCATGAATGGTGAAGTGACTTTAATATGTGCCTGAAGACCTTTCCAAGACCCCACAAACACCATTCATATTGTGCCTGATTGTTTGTTTTAATGTCATAGCACGGTTGTTATTTTGAGTAAAAGGTAGTTTTAATTGCATTTTCACATTTATTCGGCATGTTTTGTCAAAGCAGCAGTTCATTACCTTCTAGAAAAACAAACTTCCTGTGATTTTTGTCTGCACACATGACCCTTTACTGAAGTACTCTGGAGTGCTTAAGGGTAACTGAAACTTATGTGTAACTGTAACTGTAATTGTAATTGTGTAACTTTTCACGATTCATCTAAAATTTTATGTTTATTTTAAGAATACATTTTCCATCCATCCATCCATCCATCCATCCATCCATCCATCCATCCATCCATCCATCCATCCATCCATCCATCCATCCATCCATCCACCTATACATCCATCCACCCATC